GAATACTGGTATGGGTTGCCATTTCCTTCTCCAGGGAATCTTCCTGATCCAGGCATCCAAGGCAAGTCTCCTGCACTGGCAGGCAGATTCTTTACTGCTGAGCCATCTGGGAAGCCATTAGAAGAATATACTACATTTATTTTACTTTAAAGAGTATTTAGTTTGTTTCCATTTTTATTTTTATTATTTTTTTCCCGTTTTTAAAATTAAGATATAGTTTACACAAAATGCACAAATCTTGTGTATAGTTTGATGAAGTGAATAATATACAACATAAACCACACCCCAATTAAGATATAGTTCCATTCATCCCAGTAATTTCCCTTCTGATCCTACCAGTCAATTACTGCCAGTCCACAGGCAACCACTGTTTTGGTTTTGATCATCATAGTTTACTTTTGCCTGTTGTAAGGCTTCATATAAATCGAATCATGCAAACATACTTTTTTTTGTTTATTTCACTTAGCATTAAGTTTTTGAGCTTCATACCTGATGTACATCATTCATTTCTTTTTATCATTGAGTACTATTGTACTACATGAAATATACCATAATTTGTTTATGCATTTATTTATTTATTTTAGTCACTCTCTGTAGCATACAGGATCTTAGTTCCCTGACCAGGGATCAAACCCACATCCCTGAATTGGGAGTGAACCACCAGGGATGTCCAGTATTTATACATTCATTGTTGATGTACATTTGAATTGTTTCTAGCTTTTGGCTACTATGAATAACATTACTATGAATATTCTTGCATAAGTTTCTTCTGGATATGTATGTTTTTGTTTCTCTTAACTGTAATTTTTGGATCATAGAGCAGATGTTTGTTTAACTTTATAAGAAACTGTGGAACTTTTTCCCAAAGTCGCTGAACCATTTTGTACTCCTTCTGATGCTAGTTGATAGTTCTCGGTGCTCCACATCCTCACCCTTATTTGGTATTATTATTAGTCTTTTAAATTGTAGCCATCCTGTTGAATGTATAGTAGTACACTCAATATGGTTTTAATTAGCAGTTCTCTGATTATTAATTTCACATGTTTATATGCCATTTGGGTATCTTCCTTTATGAAATGTCTATTGAAGTCTCTTGTTCAGTTTTCTATTGGGATGATTCATTTCCGTTTTGATTGGTAGGAATTCAATATATATTTTAGAGGCACATCCTTTTTGGGTCAGACATGTTCCAAATATTGTCTCTACTCTTTAGTTTGCCTTGTTACTCTTAGTAGTCTCTTTTTATTAACAGCCTTCTTGAGATGTAATTCACATTCCATACAATTCAACAATTTAAAGTGTACAATTCAGTGGGTTTTGTTATATTATGCTATTTTTAAAAATTATGGTAAGATACATATAACAATTTGCCATTTTAACCATTTTTTTAGGGTAAAATTCAGTGGTAATAATTATGTTCCTAATGTTGTTTAACCATCCATTTCTTTTTTTTTTTTAATCATCTCAAACAGAAACTTTAAACGGTACCTTTAAAGAACAGAAAGTTAAAATTTTGTAACCCATTTTTTCAGTCTTCTCATTTGCTGTTAATACTTTCTGTGTCCATTAAAAATGTTTTCTCATGTCAAGATCAGAAATAATAATAATTATAGCAAGAGTAATAATGTATTTGTAGATTAGATAACAATTCATAATCTGCTTCCATCAGTCTGTAAACTCTGTGTCAGGAGTGTTGTATTCTGTGTGAATGGTGCCCCCGGGAGTTGTGTCATGCCAGGCCATGCCACGGACCATGTCTGTTTTGTTCACAGTGCTGTCCTCAACTCTTGCAGAGAGCAACTGGTAGTGTCTCAACAGATATGTGCTGAATTATCTTGTTGCATGAATAATGCAATGAATTTGTTGCATGGGTGAAAATCATACAGTCTTTAGTAGAGGTGCATGGAAGGAAACTTTCCTTTGTTTAAAAAAAGAGGAGTAGGGAATTAGGACAACTTGTCATGGTACTAAGTGAAATGAAGTCACTCAGTTGTGTCTGACTCTTTCTGACCCCATGGACTGTAGCCTACCAGGTTTCTCCATCCATGGGATTTTCCAGGCAAGAATGCTGGGGTGAGTTGCCATTTCCTTCTCCAGGAGATCTTCCCGACCCAGGGATTGAACCCAGGTCTGTAGTGGTACTAAATGATAATAAAAAAGATCACAGAGAGTTGATAAGCATTTATAACCTTGGAAAAGACCAGTCTGTAGAGGAGCTAATATAGGTCAAACCCTTTATGTACTGTCATGCTTTTTCCCCCCAAAGTATTTCTAAAGCATGAGTTGAGAAACTTGTTAAAAATGGCCTTGTTTCAATATTAAGCAAATGAGAGAATCACAGTTACGTACAGTTGCAAAGTCTTCAAGGACTCAGTTTTGAAGGAAGGGAGGGAAGGAGGGAGAGAGGAGGAGAAGGGGGATAGAGTGGGTGAAAGAGGAGGAGGGAGAGGCAGGCACATGTAGGAACGATGAACAGATGCTCTCCCAGGGTTCTTTTTTATGTTTTGAAGGCTGTGAAATGAAGGGTATCATTGCTATTTGTAAAATGGGGATAATGATAATTACTTCTCAGGGTTGTCCTGAATCTTAAACGTGATCATCTGGCAGAATTCCTGGTACATGGTTGGCGCAATGTTCCTTATGGTGTGAATTTCAACAATTGCCATTAAAGCTCGTGAACTTGCTGTGCATATAGAGAAAGTTTGGTGTGTGTTAGGACGCTAGGCAGAAATTTAGAAGTTAATACAGTTGTAGGTATCTTGTATGTTTTATGTTCCCAGCAGGTATCTCCTCCCCTTACTAAGGGTGGCTTCAGCCTTGAGTGGGCCATGCATTCTTTCGCAGGGTTTTAAGTGGGTCTGGCAAAGAAGAGACCCTTTTCCTCTGTTGTGAGGTTGTGGAGATGTCACCTAGAGCTGGGGACAATGAAGCTAATGCTCACTAAAAGCAAATGTGGAGATGCATCCAAATTCACTTTTCCCTTCCCTCTATTGTTTATATGATCTAATATGATGCTCTTTTTGGCTTAAGCTAATTCAAGTTTTTGTCTCTTGAAACCAAGAGAGTCTGCATAAATACGAAAATAACTTTGGAGGGCATTCCCTGGTAGTCCTGTGGTTATGAGTCTGTGCTTCTACTGCAGGCGATATGGGTTCTACCCCTGATCAGGGCACTAAGATCTCGCATGTAGTGAGGCCAACAAACAACAACAGCAAGAAAAACCAACTTTGGAGCGCTTACATTGATTTATAAATTCTCTTTTAAGGGTCCCTAATTTTGGAAGCAACTATGTTATTTATTATTTATAGCCTTTACCTTATGTGTGTGTGGTTTATTTTGATTTGAAAAGCCAGTTTAGAAATATCATAAGATTCTTATTTGCACAAATAAGATGGGATATATAAATACACATAGTTTTAAAGATATTATTTTGTGGCTTTTTGTGTTGCAGTATGTTGCATTGTTATTTATTCAATTTCTTCTGTAGAGTAGCAGATTCAATGTAATCTCGTAAGGTGTAGCCTTTAAATGTATTTAAGTGAGCACAGAGTTTTCAGCTGAATTTCACTCTGGCTTTCCCTCAAGGAAATATGATAGTTGTAGGAATTTCTCATGACACAGCCCAGTGACTCGAGAGGAAATTTAGAAGAAGAGTTTTTATTTTACAGTAAAGAGTTGAAAGAGAAAAATGGCAAACTTTCTGGATCCAAACAATCCAAACCCCAGACATTCTAGGAGAAGCAAAGATTTGAGAGCCTGTCACATTGATTTTGAAAGCTAAAGCAGTAATAGAGTTTCCACCTGGACAGAAATTTGATTGTATCATTCATCTCAAATAAGAAGTAATATTAATTATATTATTAACTGTTTTATTGCAGTATGATTTCATACCATAAAATCTACCTACTTTTAGAGTAGAAATAAATGATTTTTAGTTAACATAGCTTTGCAACCATCACCATAATCCATCTTTAAAACATTCCTGTCATCCTAAAAAGGTATCTTGTGTTAACTTGTAATCACTCCCGTTCTTAACTCCCAGCTTAAGACAACTGTTAAGTCTGTCTTGTGTCTCTATAAATGTACCTTTCTGCACAGTTCAAATAAATGGGACAATACAATACATATTTTTTGTGTATCTGATTTCTTTCATCGACATAAGATTTTTGAAATTCTTCTGTATTGTAGCATGCATCAGTACTTCATTTCTTTGTATTGTTAAATAGTAACCATTATATGAAAATGTCACATTTGGTTTATCCATTTACAAATTGATAGAGCCTTGGATCTCTTTCAGGTTTTTTTTTTCTTTCCAACTGTGAATAATACTGCTGTGAGTATTCATCTACAAGTTTTTGTTTGGATATATATTTTAAATTCTCTTGGGTAGATTCCTAGAAGTGGAATTGTAGAGTTTTGTGGTAAAGTTATGTTTAACACTATAAGTACATAACTGCCAAACTGTTTTCCCAAGAAGCTGTACTATGTTACATTCCCATCAGTGTTGTATGAGCAGTCCTATTTTTCTATATCCTTGTCAACATTTGTTATTGTCTCTCTTTCTGATTATTGCCAATTAGTGAGTGTGTGTACTAATATCTCATAATTTTGACTTGCATTTTCTTAATGAATAATGATGCTAAGAATCTTTTATATGTCTATTTTTAATGTCTATGTATTTTTATATGTTACATATATTTTTATATATCTGTAATCCCATGACAAATAAATTCAAGGGATTAGATCTGATTGTCCACTTATATATTTTCTTTGGTAAAATGTCTATTCACCTTTTTAGCCCATTTGTCACTTGGGTTATTTCTATTTTTGTTATTATTGGTTATTCTTAATGGTTCTCTGATGTTGAGCATATCTGATATCCTCACAAAGTAGGTGGGAAATCTGGCAAATGTCCAGGTTTTTGTATATGCATGGCAATGTCTATGTAACTAAAATAGGGGGTGATATTTAATTTTTTTTTTCATTTGTTTTTGTTACAGAAAAAAAGGAGGCACTGGTGACAAGTGGTGGAATTTTGTAGAAATTTCGCAGAGTGTGTGGAGACCACTGAGGCATGCTGAAAAGGCTTCATTTGCCAGCATGCATCATCATGGTCAAGCAGAACAGGCGCCCTTGTTATTCTCCACAGGCAAGCCATCCTGGAGAGATACCAGCACACTTCCTCTACTGCCAGAAACCGAAGACACTGATTAGTGAATCCACACTAGTTCTACCGTCATTTGAAATGTTCTTGGATTTTATTTGGTATACAATTTGGTGATTCATAAAGGGAATTATTGAATTATTTGCACTGTTAAATGATTGTGAAATGCTTTATTAATGTAGAGTCTGGTCAAGATGTGTGAAATAGTATGTTTTTTGAGTATTCATCTACAAGTTTTTGTTTGGATATATATTTTAAATTCTCTTGGGTAGATTCCTAGAAGTGGAATTGTAGAGTTTTGTGGTAAAGTTATGTTTAACACTATAAGTACATAACTGCCAAACTGTTTTCCCAAGAAGCTGTACTATTTTACATTCCCATCAGTGTTGTATGAGAAGTCCTATTTTTCTATATCCTTGTCAACATTTGTTATTGTCTCTCTTTCTGATTATTGCCAATTAGTGTGTGTACTAATATCTCATAATTTTGACTTGCATTTTCTTAATGAATAATGATGCTAAGATTCTTTTATATGTCTATTTTTAATGTCTATGTATTTTTATATGTTACATATATTTTTATATATCTGTAATCCCATGACAGATAAATTCAAGGGATTACATCTGATTGTCCACTTATATATTTTCTTTGGTAAAATGTCTATTCACCTTTTTAGCCCATTTGTCACTTGGGTTATTTCTATTTTTGTTATTATTGGTTATTCTTAATGGTTCTCTGATGTTGAGCATATCTGATATCCTCACAAAGTAGGTGGGAAATCTGGCAAATGTCCAGGTTTTTGTATATGCATGGCAATGTCTATGTAACTAAAATAGGGGGTGATATTTAATTTTTTTTTTCATTTGTTTTTGTTACAGAAAAAAAGGAGGCACTGGTGACAAGTGGTGGAATTTTGTAGAAATTTCGCAGAGTGTGTGGAGACCACTGAGGCATGCTGAAAAGGCTTCATTTGCCAGCATGCATCATCATGGTCAAGCAGAACAGGCGCCCTTGTTATTCTCCACAGGCAAGCCATCCTGGAGAGATACCAGCACACTTCCTCTACTGCCAGAAACCGAAGACACTGATTAGTGAATCCACACTAGTTCTACCGTCATTTGAAATGTTCTTGGATTTTATTTGGTATACAATTTGGTGATTCATAAAGGGAATTATTGAATTATTTGCACTGTTAAATGATTGTGAAATGCTTTATTAATGTAGAGTCTGGTCAAGATGTGTGAAATAGTATGTTTTTGTTGTGTTAGAAGAGCCAGATATGCAGTAGTCTCCCAATTTTGAGACCGTAGAGGCTAAGCCTCTGCCACCAGGTACTTCAGCCCAGGTAGCTGAGCTCATTCATAGCCCTGACTCGAGCTTTAGCGCTGGGAAAAGAAAAAAGAATAGCCGTTTACACTGACTCCAAGTATGCCTTTCTGGTGCTACATGCACATGCAGCTATTTGGAAAGAAAGGGGCCACTTGACCACCCGAGGGTCCCCAATCAAATATGATGATCAAATCCTTAGACTCTTGGAGGCAGTCCATCTGCCCACTGAGGTTTCAGTCTCCCGCTGTAAAGGACACCAAAATGGGAGCACAGAAGTGGCACAAGGGAGCCAAGCAGCTGATCAGGCAGCTAAGAGAGCAGCATTACAGAACCATGACCTAATAGGGATTGCCACCTTAGTTCCACAAACTAATTTGCCAGAAACCCCTTCTTATACTGAAGGTGAACGACTCTTAAAGCTAAGAGTGAGGGCTTTCAAGAAGATCATATGGGGTGGTTCCAAAAGGAGGGACTCCTTTTTCTGCCTGGGAACCTCCAATGGAAGTTGGTTAACTCCTTACATGCCGCCACTCAATTAAGGGAAAAGGCCCTCCAAAGATTACTAGAAAGTTCCTTCAGAGGAACAGGTTTCCAAACAACTATAAGACAAGTTGTCTCCTCTTGTCCCACTTGCCAATTAAACAACCCCCAAGGAACTCGAAGACCCCAGCTGGCCCAGCCCGTCCAACGACGTGGGGCCTATCCACTGGCAGATGGACTTCACCCAGAGTCTAAGGATTTGATCACCATATTTGACTGGGGACCCTCTAGATGTCAGGTAAGTGTATGCACCTCGGTTTTTGTCTCGTCCCAACAAGGATTTGGAGTGACGGACATTAAAGCCCCCCTTGGCGTGTCATAGCTGTCTGGTCTTGGACAGACCATGTTATAGCTCTCAGATAAATCAGTGTTACAGCTCTATTTTATTCAGATAATAGCAGGAAAATCCATCTTCGAGGGGTGAGGGTATGTCAACCCAAAGACCCGAAGAGAAGAGCGCCCCATCGCACGGGCGGGGCGGGGTATTCTGGACTCCTTTTCCCTATTCTAACTACCTAACAGTTTACAATTTGATGATTCATAAAGGGAATTATTGAATTATTTGCACTGTTAAATGATTGTGAAATGCTTTATTAATGTAGAGTCTGGTCAAGATGTGTGAAATAGTATGTTTTGTTTTCATTTATATCACTATTTATGAATTGGAAATACTCATTCTACTTCTTTGGATTGCTTCTCCTAGAGTTTTTTTCATTCTTGGTTGTCCTTTGTTAGATATTCCTAAATTACTTTTAATAATACATCCAGTTCTCTGGAGATGAGCTATAGACACTTAATAAGCTGTGGTTTTTAGTTCTGGAAGGACTGTTAATGACAATCTCTTTTAAGATTCAGATTTTGCTTGATAGGACAGTGTAACGTTTAGAGATTTTGATACCCTGGGTCTGGGGTAGAGCCTGGGAATATATTTTGTGGCTAAGAACTTCGGTGAGTCTTAGGATCAGGAAAGTTTGGGAAGCATTGTTGTGATAGAAAAAGGACTTTGGATTCAGATGAACTTGGTTTCTAGTTGTATTTAATTGCCAGTTGTGTGTTTTTGGGACACATAAACCACCTCTGTAAGTTTAATTTCTTTATAAGATTACTGAGATAGTTAAATGACATACATAAAGAACGGGGCACAATAAATATGCAACAAGTTATCTATTCTAATTATATTCCATTTAATGACAATAATCAGCCAAATATTTGAACACTTATGTACAATGATGAAGACTCATTCTTTACCCTCAAAAAACTTACCAATTAGTAGTACAGTGAGGATGAGGTTTTTTACAGTGAAAGGCAATGTTATATCATCAAATAAGTTCAAAACCATTTTCTTTGGAAGAAGGGAAATGAAACAGGCAGAGATTACTAGGAGTGTAGGGTGATTTTATGGGGTGGAGTATGGGTGGCACTAGGAGCAATAAAGACCAGGGGCAGGAAATAAGAAAGCATCTTTCAGAAAACACCGAAGAGTCCCATTGGTTTCTCTCAAATAGCAAAATTAGAGTAGCACCAGGAGATAATGATAGAAAGACAAGTTGGTGGTGGACTTTAATAGAAGATTCAAGTAGTGTTTGACATTTGCTTCCAATAAAGATTTTGAATAGGAGAGATAGTAAGAATATACTCTAGTCTTCTAAAAAATGTATTAGAAGTTTAAACTGATAATAGTGTGAAGGTAGGAAGTGATTCGGGGGGCAGGGGAATTAGCTTTTTTTTTTCAGTAATAATAGTAATTCAATAGTAATTAAGGGTTTGATAACAGTGGAAATCTGTATCTAAAAACGAAATGGAGATGCCTAAAATACACCTGAAAGATGCTCTCTTTTGTAGTTCAGGTAAATAAAGGAAAAAAAGGTCCATATTAAAGGTTTTCCATACTACCCATATCAAAATTTTTAAATAGTCGAGTCCCTTCTTTTAGTGACTTTCATCTACAAGACAGCCGAAAGGTTGAAGAAAGAAACAAGAGAACTGTCCCAGACTAGAGGGTCGGGAAGCCTGCACCCCAGCAGGAGGAGGCGTGTGCATGGGCGGGGACGCAGGCGGAGGTGCGCGGCAGCCCCGGGGTATCGCGAGAGTTGGGCGGACCGAGCAATCGCAGCAGTCAATTCCCCCACCCTCCCGGGAGGAGCCGCCGGCCCTGGACTCTCCAAATTCTGAGCTCTCATCATGGCGGCGGCGGCCGCTGCGGCCGTCGGGGGGCCGCAGTCACCCCAAGCCGAGATGCCTGCTCCTGGGCTGGCCCTGGACAAGGCGGCCACCGCCGCGCACCTGAAGGCGGCCCTCAGCCGGCCGGACAACCGGGCAGGTGCTGAGGAGCTGCAGGCGCTGCTGGAGCGGGTGCTGAGCGCCGAGCGGCCGCTGGCAGCGGCTGCGGACGGCGAGGAGGCGGCGGCGGCCGGCGGCGGGGGCGGTCCGGGGGCGGCCGAGGAGGAGGCTCTGGAGTGGTGTAAGTGCCTTCTGGCGGGCGGCGGAGGCTACGACGAGTTCTGCGCGGCGGTGCGGGCCTACGACCCCGCGGCGCTATGCGGCCTGGTCTGGACAGCCAACTTCGTGGCCTACCGCTGCCGGACGTGCGGCATCTCCCCCTGCATGTCGCTTTGCGCCGAGTGCTTCCACCAGGGTGACCACACCGGCCACGACTTCAACATGTTCCGCAGCCAGGCCGGGGGTGCCTGCGACTGCGGAGACAGCAACGTGATGCGGGAGAGTGGGTGAGTGGAGCCTTTCCCCGGGGCGGGGGACACCGCGGGATTGCCCAGGCCGAGTCTGGAGAGGCCTCGGGGAGGGGAAGCTCGGAGCCGACTCCGAGCTGTCAAGAGAAAGAAGTGGGGGAAGGTGCAGCCGCATGGAGATGGAAGTGACTGAGCTGTCAGCGGTGGAAAGGGGATGGGGAGGAGGGGGGAGCGGAGAGCGTATTTAGAGAACGGAGCTGGGAATTTCGGGGAAGCCGGGGCGAACGAGTGATTGCGAGAAAAAAGCCAGTGCCTAGTGTAGGAGCGGAGAGGAGAGGAAAGGATACTTGGGCAATCTGGTGTCGAGCTGTCAATTGTGTACTTGCTGGGGAAGGCTTTAAAGCCGTCCGTTTCTTGGGAAGAAACTGATGATGTGATTTGGACTATTTGGGAGAGCAGTGATATTGGGGACTAAATTGGGTCGCGGGATGATGGGAGTCGGGGAAGCGGTCTTGCTGCTGCAGAGGAGGTCAGCTCGTGGAAGGGACTTCTGAACTGTCAGTGTGGCAGCGTGAGGGAAGGAGCTCCTGAGCTGATGGGGGCTGAGGGAGGAGGGGAGGGGAGGGGCCTGGATGAAAAGTGGCTGTGGAGCTGTCAGTGGAGTATTTGGTGTGCTGGAATGACAGCTAGAATTGAGCTACCGAGAGAGCAGTCAGCTATGGAATACCCTCCATACCAGAGCAGACAAAACACTGAGCGAATTAGGAATCAGGTGCTAGGTCTTCTCTAGTAAAAGGGCACTTTATTCACGGACTAACACGCGAACCTCTATCTAAAAGGAAACACTCAACAGATGCTTTTTTCGATAGGAGTGTTGTACCAGGATGTCGGGATTTGCCAAAAGACATTTCAGAGATTGCAGGGAGTTAAAGAGTTGGTACATGTTGTGTCTTGGCTTGGGACATGATGTCTGGGGAAGTCCTGTGAGAAGAAAAAGCTTAGTCAAAGAGAGCTTTTTGGTTGGGTAGTATCTGAAAGAATGTTAGCAAATCCAGTTATTCAGGTTTTTCGATTTTCAGGTCTTATAATTAATGATAGAGTATAATCCCTTTAGAAATGGTCTCTGTTTTCCTTGGAGTAGGTTACTGTTACTGCAAAATGTTTGTATCTATTAGGTAGATACATGACCTGTGTCTTAAGCAGCTTATGCAAGAGTAGAAAATGATAAGTTCCTTAAATAGTCTGGGAGTTAGAGGAGGCTTCTGTGCAGAGGGAGTAAGAAAAAGCTTCAGAAAGGAGCTTTTTTGAACTTGCTAATAATGATACTTGTAATTCTGCTGCTGCTGACAAGGACAATAGTAATAATTGCAGCTAACATTTGCTAACTTTAGAGTGTATGCCTAACACTTAAAAAATACTTTCAAAATTGATAATTGAATAGGTAAACTTTTTTAGCTAAAACAAAAAAATAAAAATAGACACAGTTTAAAGTTTCCCTCCCATCCTATCTCCTGTCTGTCCAGTTTCTTTCCACCGTTTTTAGTTTCTCTTAGTGTGAAAACAAACAAGGGTGAATATGTATTTTGATTTTTCAGTCTCTTTATACCATTTACATTATTCTATGCATCTTGCATTTTTCACTTAAGAGGTCTATGTCAGTAAATCAGTGTACTCTGTTAAAAAAAATCTGCATAGTGTTTCATGTCATAAATTTGCCATTCTTAGTCATCACTTTTGATGGACATTTTGGTTCCAGGATGAAATTACAAACTGATATACCTTCTTTCCACGCCTGTGCAAGAATATCAGTGGGATAAATAAAGTGAAATTTCCAGATTGCCCCCCATAAGGCTTAGTAGTAAGCAGAGCATGTGACTGTTTCACAACAGCCTCATCAACAGAGTGCTATTAAAACTTTGTATTTTTATCCACCTGTTTGGAAAATAATGATCAAATATTAAAACCTGCTTTACATGATTAGCTCATTTAATCAGTAACTCCAAGACTGTTTATTCCTCATTATCCCATTGTACAGAAGAGGAAAGTGGGACTCGGGGTTTAAGACACTTGCTCAGGATTACACAAGTAGTTGGCTATGCATCTTGAGGTCAGAGCCTGACAGCTTCACCATTCTCTATTGCCTTTACAAAATAGCATTCTTTTTGGTACTTCCATTCGTTACTGTGTCCTTGTTTTTTTAATATGCCATTCTTATTTAGGCCTTTTTATTTTCTTTTTAAAATCTTACCTGTTAAAAACATTTAAGAGGGATTTCAAAACAGAGGAATTGGAACCATGCTTTATTGATACTTAGACATTTTTACTTTTTAGTCAAGGTTAACATTTGAGAAACCGGCAAAGTACATGAAAGTAGGAGATAATATTGATTCTTTCCTGAATTTTAGAACCAGGTGGTATAATTAATTATCAGGTTCATTTGGATGAGATGCATATCTGATCTCTCATTGTGATGCTTCGTTGTGGGATCAGAAATATCTCAGTGAGTTTCTTTCAAGGTACTTGTACAGTTTTAGGGTATCTGGCCTCTAGCCGGTCCACATCTTAATCTCATAGCATTTGCCTTTACTGACATCTTGTAGATTCTTATTTTTCCCCTATTCAGTCAAGCCTCTCTTTATGAGATGATATATGTGCGTGCTCAGTTGCTTCAGACTCTTTGCGACCCTGTGGACTGTAGCCCACCAGGCTCCTCTGTCCATGGGGTTCTCCAGCCAAGAATATTGGATTGGGTTGTCCTATCCTTCTCCAGGGCATCTATAGTACTTAAATAATTATTGTCTATCTAAAATGCATAGCTATTGTCTGTACATGCCAGCAGTTGCCATGCCGTTTCATGATGGGCAAGAGTGAACAATAAACAATATTATGGCCATGTAATTATTCTGAAATTTTTACAACTCTTTGGGTTGGACAGGATAAATCTTCTGGGCTACACACCTGATTACTGCCTTGAGAGACACAGGATGTTAGCCAGTGTTGCAGGTTGAAAGGCTGCCTCAGGGACCTTTTTAGAACTGGGAATCATTAAAAATTTCCTGGTAGGCAAAGCTGGACTACCCTCACATGAATGGAATGTAACTTTTCTCAGTTTTTGATATTTCTTAAAATTTTTTTGGTTGTTAAAGATGGAGGATGTGTTGATTTTGGTGGTGTTTGTTATTTTAATTGTCATAGAAGTTTGTCTGTCCTATTCAGTAAATTTTTAAGGAAGGATTCTATTGTTCTCTGTATCTTGTTCTTAGTAAAAGAGAAGAAGCCCGGCTGTGCCTTAATCCTTTCCCCAAGTGTCTGACTCTTTTGGGTAGGATGTTGTATGATTGGAGATGAGGAGAATCAAATATTTGGTCCATCACAACCTATTTAATTACTATTTAATTTTCAGATTGATAATTACAGAAATATGCAAAGAGGATTCATTTTTCTTTGATTAGTAGTAATAAATGTGGCATATTAACAGGTATACAAATCAAACAAAGAAAACAGCTGAGAATTCATTTGTGGGAAGAGATTACAAAGCCTATAGACACTGTGTGTTAGTAATTGTGTGTTAGGACTTCCCTGGTGGTCCAGTGGTTAAGACTCAATGCTTCCAATGCTAGGGGTGTGAGTTTGATCGGAACTAAGATTCTGAGCTTTGCAGCATGTCCAAAAAATAAATAAATAAAAATAAATTTAAGTAAAAATTTAAAAGATAAATTTTAAGAATAGTAATGGAAAATATAAAATAATGTTTGACTGGTTTGGGGTTCTGATGTTACAAACAGGAAATTGGAATTTTAAACATTTAGTTTTCAAATTTTGATGCACAGGATGACCGTTTTTATATTCTATTCTGCATTACAGATTTTTTTTGCCACCTTCCTTATTCTTCCTCACAGATTCTAAACTCCTTAAAAATTAGAAAGTTCATCTTGCTGTTATTAATCAAAGGCTCTTGCACTTGCTTACTAGGTAGATAGCATATGTTGAATTAAATTGGATAAACTAGTAACTGTTTTACCTTAAAGTTGGCCCTGAGATCACATTGCTTTAGTTATTCAGGAGGTGGCATGGATTATTAAATCCACAGCATCTTTTTTTTTTTTTTTAGGAGAAATTTTATTTTCAAGGACTTGTGCAGACAGTGGTGAATAAAAAATTTTATTTCCGCTATAAAAAGCTGACTTCATTCCACCCTGGCATACAGGGTTGGTGTGCCAGTTTGAATCTGAGGCAGTACTGCTATCCCCATTCTTCTACTCCTAAAAGACTCTCTTAAAGGAACAACTTCCTATGATTTTCAGTCAAAAATGTGACATACCAACCAAAGCATCTTTTTTCATTGTACTTCAGGAATTGTTATTATTTTTTAATTTCAAAAGTAATAGTGGTTATAACAAAAATAGGTGGATACTGTAAAAATTAGTTTCCTCTTTCCTCCTCCCCTCTTCTCAGTGAGAGATTTCCCTTTCTTTTGAGCTTAATTACACATTTAAAAGATTTTAGTTATAATTTATTCAGCATTTCTAGATGTTTTGTTGTGGGAAGTTTTTAGGTTCTTTGGTGTGTGGCAGTGCTAGAAATACTTTGGCCACCTGATGCGAAGAGCTGACTCATTTGAAAAGACCCTGATGCTGGGAAAGATTGAGGGCAGGAGGAGAAGGGGACGACAGAGGATGAGATGGATGGCATCACAGACTCAATGGACATGGCTTTGGGTAGACTCCGGGAGTTGGTGATGGACAGTTGGTGATGGCCTGGCATGCGGTTCATGGGGTCGCAAAGAGTCGGACATGACTGAGCGACTGAACTGAACTGAGTGCTAGAAATTGAAGCTGTGGATGTCTGGTTGAATAGTGTTAAACTCTCTGTATATTACTTTTTCCCCTGAACATACTTATTGGACACTGTCTCTTATTAGTACATGGAGAACAATTTGATTTTCTTCTTAAATTGTATTCTATTGCATTTTGATATTTTTGTATTTTACTGTAATTTATTCAGTCAGTTCACTACTGATAGACATATAAATTAAGTCT